CTCCCCGCCCTCCACCCACAGGTGGCGCCACGTAGCCCCTGCCCCGACCCCTCCCCGAGTCAGGCAGGGAAGTCTGGGAAAGCTGGAGTGACAGCCGGCTGGCTGGCCGATGGTGCACCTGGGTGTCAGGCCCGGGGACGCACTCTGGACCACTGGGCAGGTTTCGACCCCAGCCCCTTTACTTATCCTTCGGCCCTGGCTGCGTGGTGGGGGTGGGATGGCATTTGCCCTTTTGCACACTGCTGGCTTCATCTATGGATGGGGTTGGCCTGGTGATCTCTAGTAACAGCACTCCCCAAGGGTCTGCACCCTGAGGCAAAAAGCGCAAGTTACTCTCTATTAGCCACATATTCACCCCCGCCTGGTGGCCTCTTCGCTACTTTGACCCTTTCCTTCAGTCCCCCCGTGCTGAGCAGAAGTTCCACGACCGGCAGGGCAGTGGAGAATCCAGGGCCAGTCTCCCAGGACCCAGAAGCAGTTTGGGGTAATTGGAAGCCTCAGAGGAAAGATATGGCTTTGTCCTTCAGCACTGGGGCTTGACTTGCTTTCAGCTGCCCTAGGAGGATTTCTGGTCTGAGCAGCCTGACAGGGGAAAAAGATAAGGGCTGGGTCTACAGATCCGCCCCTAGCTGGGTGTCTGCCTCTGGTGTTCGCAGGCATTGGAGATTTGGGTTTTTTTTTTTAATCCAAAATGTGTTTATTGGGATGGTTTTCCACTCATCTTGATTCAGGGTGCTTTTAGTGCTGCTTCCTCCTGACGGAACATCTTTCTGTAAGCCTTGCTTTTCCTCCTGTAGGCTGGCAGAGGACAGTGGAGCAGCCAACGCACAAAACTACCGTTTGTGCATGGCTAAAGACCGTGGTGATTTTATAGCATCCTGGGCATTTCACATCCATGAAATAGGAATTGGGACTCTGCACCAGGCGCTTCTTCTTGTGTTTCCTCTTCTCCTCTTCTGGAGAGGGATGAAGGAGATCTTTTGCAAGAGGCATGTTCTCGTGGGGAGGTCTTCAATGCCGGAAAGCTGGAGTTTTTGATAATGACTCACTTCTGCTCTTTCTGGGATCTGTCTCCCTCCCACATGACCCCATGGGGTCCCTAAATGGCAGTCTTTCTTGCAGTACCCATGTGGGCTTGCCTGAGCCACAGCAGGGGGTGTTTAATAAGGAGACTAGAACTGGGCTTGGGGACATGCTCTCAGACCAGCTCTCCAGCAGGCTACAAGAAGAACCAGACCACTTCCTTTCTTGGTGGGCAAATAATTCACATAAGCTAATCAACAAGCATATGAATTCAGAGGGCAACTACGTGCCCCCTCTGGACTTCCAGCCCCTCCTCTGCAACTTGGAAATATTTATTTGTGCACTGCAGACAGAGGGTTGTGATGAAGATCGGCAGGAAGAGGGGTTAAGAAGCTGATTCTGTCACTGGGTGGAAACTTTCTAAGTGCCAGGGGGTTTTTTTGAGATCCTAAGTCCAGCTTCCAGGCTGGAGCAGTGGCAGATCCAAGTTCTTCTTGTAGTCTCTGGGGAAGCCACTTGAACGGTGCCAGTCGTCCCCTGCACCCAGCGGTCTTTCCTGGCAGGCCCTGTATGTGGTCCATGTCTGCTGGGTGGGGAATCTGTTGAAAAAAAAAAAGAAAAAACATGCTGAGGGGTTGCTTCCAGCTGTCTTTGGGGGATAGCTTGTGCCATGGATTGCTTTTGCCTAGAACCAGCCCTAGAGTGTACAGAAGATGAAGTACTCATGGTTGCTCAATTTCTGCACTGTTGACATTCTAGGCTGGATAATTGTTGGTAATGGGAGCTGGCTTGTGCATTGTAGGATGTTTAGCAGCATCCCTGACCTCTCCCCACTAGGTGCCAGTAAGCATCCCCCTGCTATCTCCCCATCCCCACTCTAGTCACCAGACACTACCAAATGTTCCCAGGATAGGGGGATGCAAAATCGTCCCCAATTTTGAACCACTGGTGTACTTGTAAAGGGTCTTGTCCTCTGCAGGCTTCCTCTCTGGCCTGCCTTGGTGAGACAGCCAATTCTCTCCACTCTAGGGCACTGTCTTTATCTGGGGGTGAATGTCAGGAGCTAAACATTGTTTTTCCTTGCAGGGTTCAGGGGTGATCAAGGCTGGCTTTGCAGGAGACCAGATTCCCAAATACTGTTTCCCAAACTAGTAAGTGTTACTCAGGCTGCAGCTGTAATTCTGTTTGCTTCCTGGGAACATTGGCCCTGTGTCACAGCTCTCTTCTTTGAGGACAACTCTTGTCCCTACCTATACAGAAAAACACCAAATTCGTGAGGTTGACACTACTGAGAGAGTTCTGGAAGGATAAGACAAGTACCCTAAGTTTCCCCTTCCTCTTTGGAGTCTCTCTTTGAGGTCTCTCCTTGAGCCAGCAAGGCGGAGAAGCGGCAGGGACCCCTGGGGACAGGGCGTGGTAGCAGCAGCAAGAATAAAAGGGAGATACCTCCTGGGGGATACCAAAACTCTGAGCAGAAAGAGTGGGGAGTTAGATGCACAGCTACCCCTGGAAATGTTTTCTTCAGGAAACAGAAATATTTTCAGATTCCAGGAAATTGTTTCATTTCAGTCAAAGGGGGTCTTTCCCTGTATGGCTGGTGGTGGCAGGGATAAGAGGG